TCCCATCTGTTCCCCCTCCCCCCCCCCATTACTACCCCTCTCTCTCTCTCTCTCTTTATTTTTTTTCTTCTTTTCTTTTCTTTTCTGTCTACTTATTCACTCCATAATTTATTTTAACCCTGCTACTAGGAAGTCGGTGAAGCCTTTTTCTTTCTTCTTTTTTTTCTTCTTCTTTTTTTTTCTTCTTCTTTTTTTTTCTTCTTCTTTTTCTTTCTTCTTCTTTTTCTTTTTTCTTCTTCCCCCCCCCCCCCCCTTTTGATTGTTTGACGGGCCGAGCCCCCCCGAATTGTGCTTCCTTGATTAACCTTGTCCCGGCTATTATTCCAGTCTGTTTATTACCATCTTGTATATGTACGTACTACATGTACCCACCCATCATACCCTTTTACCATCCTACAGGCACTGCCGTTGACTCTCAAGACTCAAGATATAGCCTTGCATAGCAGGATGCAATGCACGGTACGATGTAATGACGATGACGACCTGGATCCGCACGCTCCTCCTCTCTTCCTAGGGTTTCCTAGGGTGGTCACTTCCTAGGGCGACCTCTCTCAGGGTTCGGTCCAGAGGAGAGTTGCGTGGATTGGAGGCTGGAGATGGGTGGAAGACCACGATGCGAGCATTGCATGTTGCATGTAATGGTGAATTGCGATCGCCCCCCCACCCCCAAGACAGAGCCTCATCAAACTGCTACTAGCACAGTGAGATGGGCGAGGGGGGGTTTCTCTTGTTCTCTACAGGTAATACAAGCACTTAGCACATATATCCTCATTCTCCTCCAACACCTAAAGGGAGAAGGGGGGAGGGGGGGGGGTTTCCCTATCGTGTGTATCACGCGACTAACCAGCCTATATCCTATATGCAGTGAGCTAGTAATGACTGATGTAAGTTAGGAACGAAAGAAGAGGAGGAGGAAATGCGATTCATTCGAAATCAAGTTGTTGGGATGATGGTCAAGATGAAACTCATGATTAGGCAAGGCCAATGATACCCTACGGTGACGCTTGAGTGCGGACTTGCAACAAAGGCAATAAGCGGATTTTCTTCTCTTTTCAGGCTTTTGTTCTTTAGTCTTTGAGAGAGAGAGGGGGGGGGGGGGGGGGNTTTCCGTACTTTTTTTTTTTTTTTTTTTTGCCCTATGCATATTAAAATTCCTTTTTCTTTCTTTTTTCTTTTCTTTTTCGGTTCTTGTCTTCTTCCTTTTTTTTCCCCTTCCATCTTCCGTCCTCCCCCATTCGACGAATGGTATGTATCTCCTCTTCCACCAGAATAATATATATACCATTCCCTACTCTGCACAATGTAGCCGATTACTAGTCTTCTCGTGATATTCACTCTACCTCTCCCTCCCTCCCCCTCCCTCTTCCTTTCCCCCCTCCACCGAATTCTAGGTGGGAGATCGTAGCGAGAGGGAGAGAGGGAGAAGGAGAGAGAGAGAGAGAGAGAGACAGGTCACCAACGTCTTAGTGGGGCCCCGTCAGAGCCATTCCCGCTCCGTAATATTACTCCGTCAGGCTCGTACCAGACCTGAACCTCCTACGGGAGCTATGCTCTCTCCGTGTATCCTCTGCCTGCTATCCCGGGTGTGCCGTCACGGCCGACGAGAGGGAGGAGGGGGCAGGGTCCTTTTGTGTGATTCCGCGCTTGACCCGGGATGTAGGGTCTGGAAGCAGCTCTCTCTCTCGAAGAGGAGATGAAAGTATTTATCCCAGGGCTGGACTCTCTACATGGGGGTCGGTAGTACTGATCTGTCAGGTCTAGAAGAGGGAAATCAACGACTGAGCTGTGCAGGAACAAGGGGGGGGAGCGTTGTGTGCTCATTCATCTCGCTAGCCATGTCAATATACAGATGATCTATAAAATGGTACATGTACGAGCTGTGGTTGTAATGCCGTGAATGTATGTATATGTATATAGATATGTATATAAATATTTATATGTAAATACATATATACATATTCCATCTTATTCTCTCTGTTCAGCATCTCTAGGGTTCGAACTTGTCGACGACGACGACGACAAGAACAATCCCAATCCCGAACCTCGTCACATGTCAACTCTCCACCCTTCACTCTCCGGCGGACAGGCATCTGTCGCTCTTTTGGAGATTTCGGGTCATTAGACTTCTGACATGGCCACCCGGAGCGGTTCGACGACAGCTTTTGACTGGTTATACTCGTACTTATTGCATCTAACCTACTCCGTATTCCCATCTGAAACGGTTTCTCGACCGAAACCCCATTCTTTTCGTCATATGACAGCTTCGGTTTGATTTCCACGGACCGAGGAGTGGCGGGGGGGAGGGGGTGAGGTGAGGTGAGGGCCAGGCATGGGACATGCACGGGGACATGGGATATGGGGCATGGGACTTGTATTCTCGTACATGTACGGATGACACTTCTCTCAGCGTCTCCATGCTAGCCGTATCTCACGGTACCGTAATAACCACCCATCGTACCGGTCTTGTATCGTCGCTGAGACTTATACTACCGGCATGATCTGTATGTGCTATCATTACTCCGTACTATTCTACTCTGCGACACTGCTGACGATACTACCGTCAGTCCGTCCGTAGTGGTGACGGATGCTTGCCAGGTAATCGCCGGAGCCGCAGATACAGAGAAACCGGTAATGGATAAACCGACCTGCTTCCCGTACCTCCGTACCTCCACCGTCACGATGCTGGGCGAAAAAAGAAAAGAAAAAAAGGCTTGCTGCTGGCGGAGAGAACCGAGAGGCTTTTTGCGATTATCCACCTCGGGTCTTGGCTGGTATGATGCTAGTCTTGAATCGACGTGTAGGTAAATAATACCTGGTACGTCTCGACCGTGTCTAGCTGATGATGCTCTCTCTCTCTGTCAATATGCATACAAGACCGGTCTAGGCGTGATTCTCTCCTCGCTGTCGGTCAATGCCATCTGCGTTGGGTCAGAGAGAGAGGGGCGGGGGGGGAGTCATCGTTGGCCATCTGTAACATAAACATTGCCCAACGAACAATTCAAGTCTTTGAAATCATACCGGCCAGTCATCTTCCCCCATCTTCTTCTTCTTCCTCTTCCTCTTCTTCTCTCCTCCTCCTCCTCCTCCTCCTCCTTCTTTCTTTTCCGACGGTACGATGCATGCATGTTCAGAGAAAGAGGGATGCCACGGTCTAGACAAGAAGAAAAGCATCAAGAAAAACAGAAGAGAAAAAGAAGAAGAAAAAAGAGATGGGGACTTGTTGTTTCCGGAAAAAAAAAAGGGTCAGCACACACACCCACACCCACACAACACCATCTTGCTGCCGACAGAAAGAATCGGGTAAACTTGACCCGTTGCATCACTCTCGTGATATCACCCCCAGCCAATCTTCCGTTACGATCACAATCCTACTACCATGTAATCGTATTCGTCGCACTACTACTAGTAGCAGTGATAGCAGTAATGTCTGTTGATAGAGAGTGCCCGAGTGTGAGTGTGCGTAGACCACCCCCCCTCCTCTTCCTCCCTCTTTAGGGATACCGGCATGACCGTCACATCACACCTACGTACGTCGTAGGTAATGCTGCAAGACATGTCTCAGGAGATTTATTGATTCAACAATAGACAATGGGTATTATTACTAGGTGAGATATGACCACATACCGACGTCCTAATTAATATATATACATACATATATACATATAAACAATATATACATATAGACCATATATACATATATACAGTATATACATATATACAGTACATATATATATATATATATAATCTACAATATATATTTGTCGTATCTCTTGATATCAATCAAATATTTGCTCGCCAACTCGAGTGACTAGATAGCACCTATCAAACAGCTATAAAGATTTCGTTTTCTTTCTTTGTCTTCTTTTTCCTCTTCTTTTTTTTTAAAAAAAAGAAAGAAGGAAAAACACAAGAGAAGGAAAAAAAGCAGATATATATATCTGCTTGAGCTTCATCCCATCTAAACAAAAAAAAAAAAAAAAAAGAATAGAAAAAGAAGAGTCCACACTCAATCGGAACCCCTCCCGTCTGCCGTGTCTGCATCCTTCATCCCGTTTAGAATACTTCGTACGCGATGACAATAGTTAGCAATGTTATCTCGGTAAGCTGTGAATCTGAACTTGCATGTATTGCATGTCATCCCATCGGCTGTATTCCGAAAAAAAAAGGCTTTCTTTTCTTTTCTTCTTTTCCTTTTTTTCCTTTTTTCCCTTTTTTCCTCCCCCCCCCCCTTTCTTCTTCACCACCACCATCTGTACCGCTACCCGTAATCCTTAGATTGTGATTTGTTTGGTTAAACCCCGTTCACATAACATCTCTTTAGGCAAAAACGCTCTCTCCCCTGGAACGTTCATCTTAGGCTCGGTTCGGTACATCATGACGTGTACGGGCTTGTTTATATACTTGTATTTACATCACCAGTACGCCGAGGCACGGCAGGATAATATGCAAAAAGTTTTCAGCACGCGTTTGTATAGTAATCATCCAACGTGTTGTCTCCTGCTTGACAATGCCACGCGTTGCTACCATCCTCTACTCTCTTTCTTCTTCTTCTCTGCAGCACACGTACAGGTCAGGACCCATTAGGATGTATTTCCCACCAATTCTATTCCCGTACCCATATGGAATACTACAGCTCATTGCCCATGTCTCTATGAGGAGATGAGAATAAAAAAAGAGGAGGAACGAGGAAAGAGAAGGAGAGAGGAGCAGAGACGACAACATGCCATCAACCATCAACCCTCCGTCGTATCCATGGCATCACCCCCCTTGACCTCCTCCTCCTCCCCCTGCTGCTGCTGCTGCTGCTGCTGCTGCTGCTGCCCCTCCCTTGCAGCCTTGACCCTCTCTTCCTTCCACTCCTCAATCTTCTGCTTCAGCTCCGTCTGCGGCACGGCATCCTCGATCGTCATCGGTTTACGGGTGAAGGGATCCATCGGGTCGCTGAGCAGGTGCTGCACGATGGTCGACCGGTCGACGGTGTGCCCGCTCGGCAGGAGGACCGGATCCTGCATCAGGTCTCCCATGATGGGGTCCTCAAAGTCGGCCGGGATCTCGCCGAGGTCCAGCTCCGTCTGCTCCATGATCTTCTTAGCATCGAGGAAGTGCGACTTGAGCTTGTCCCACCGCGCGACGTCGACCGGGTCCATCTGATGCTTGGACGTGAGGATGCGGGACACGCGGTCGAGCACCTCGGGCTTGTACGAACGACCGTCGGCCGCCACCGCCTTGACGAACACCTCGGCCGACCCCAGGTTCAGGTAGATCTCGACAAAGTCCGAGATGAGCTGCACTGGCCGGAAGTGGTACTTGTCCTTGTTGGACACGCTCAGCTCCGCCGCCGCCTTCTTGCCCGCCAGCGTCTCCAGGTTGTAGTTGAGCATGCTGGCCAGACGCATGACGATCTCCGGCATCGTGAAGGCGTCGCCGAGCGCCTCCGTGAAGAGCTTCATCATCTCCAGCGTCTCGTTGGCCAGCTGCATGTACGACGTCGCCTGGTTGCCCAGCGACTGCAGCTCCTCCTCCTTCTTCTGCCGTGCTTCCCCCTGCACCGACGGGTCATCCAGCTCTCGCTCGATGCTTCGGATCTTGGGGAATTTGGTGAAGGCCTCGTCCAGCACGTACGTCGCGTCGTTGAGCAGCATGTTGACAAACTTGACAAAGAACGTCTTGTTCACCTTGCTCTCCTGCGTCAGGCGCTGCCTGTACACGTCGCTGACCCACACGCACTTGATCACCTGGAAGATCTCGTACCGGATCGTGAACTTGTCGTAGAACTGGTTGTTGGCCCCCGTCGACTCGCACTCGATGTAGAACTTCATGAGAGCGTGTAGCAGGTAGTCGTTGGCAAACTTCATCGAGATGAGCTGGTCTCCCAAGACACCCTTCTTAAGGTGCATGAACGGGAGCGTCCCCGAGAAGAGTAGCGTCACCAGCGACGACTTGACGTACGGGTTCCTGATGTACTCGCCAGACCTCAACAGCGTGATTCCGAGAGCGATCAGCTCTTCGCCTACGGCGCTCAGGAGAATTTTTGGGAGCCACCTAAGATTGTTTGGAGATTTCCCCCCCCCCCCTCTCTATTAGAAGACGGGATTCTCTTGTTTCTGGACAGGTAACACATACCGGAAGATGAATTTGAAATTGTCCACAATGTTTTGCAGACAGTACTCCGGGAGGCATGCGAATGCGCTGTTGCGTTCCACCGCGAGCGGAAGGCTGTTTTGCGTTTCGTTAGAAGGAATCCCTCGAGCAGTTTCGGGTGAACGTGTCCAGAAATAAGAATAAAGATAAAAGATGCATACGTGATCTCGCTCTCCTTTCCAGGGCGGTAGTCAGATCCGGTAGCCAGACGCAGTAGCCAGACGGCCACGTAGCGCATGAAGCGCAGCGACGTGCTCTGCATGCGTTCATCGAGAAGAACGCCCTCGATGGCGTACTTGAGGGCAATCGTGCGCTCGAGCACGTTTGTGTGGCGCTTGAGCGTCTCCTCGAACAGCCTGAGCTGGTGGGGGGAATTGGCCACCTTGGACCTCTCGGCCTCCATGGCCTTGATGTGCTTCTCGAGATACTTTATCTCGCGGTCGAGGTTCTTGAGCTGCGAGTTGGCCGCCTCGCTGCCGTAGTGATGGGCGGCGAGGGTGAGGAAGAAGACCTCGGAGATGAAATTTGACGACTCCCCGGACTCGTCCCTGTGGCTGTAAAACTCGTCGGCCGTTGCCTGGTCCGCGTTGATCTTGGTCTCGTCACTGATGTCGATGCGCGGCTGGCGCTTGAAGTAGCCCACGTCAATCTTGTCCACCTTGCTGAAGTCGTTGTCCATGAACGGCTCGCAGAAGCGGTCCAGGATAGTCGTCACATTCATCATGAAGCCATCCGACGCCACCTCCCGCGGGTCCACCTGCATGGCCCGCCTCATGTGGTTCGTGTTCATGATGTAGGCGAACCAGTCCAGCGTCCGACCCCGAGTCTCGGTACCGGCGCGGATGAAGGCGTTCGATATGGCGAAGAGATCGTCCTGGTGCGCCCTCAGAACCATGCGGAGCGCATCCTGCGAGTTGGTGATGCGCGCCCGGTCAAGGGTGCGAGATCCTGGGAAATAGCTGCGGATCACCTCCCCCTGCAGCGGCGACAGTCGGAAGAACGGGCCCAGCAGCGTATGCCGCTCGATGCCGGGGGCCGACTGGGCCATGTTGAATGTAGGGAGTTTGGCTAGGTTGACAGTGAGGGCGGGGAAGCGGGTGTATGTTTGGAGGGCCTGCATATCGCAAGTCAGCAACCGTTCTCATCGCAAACCGTCTCCGCCGGTCCTCACCTGAACATAGGGCTTGTAATCGTGGTTCATAGACATGGTGGATAGACGGGAGCTGATCTGGACCATGGCATTGTTGAACAGAGCGGGGATTGCTTCGTCATCATCAAACTTCTTGATGGCTTCCTTGTAGAACTCAAAGTCGAGGCCATTCTCGTCGAGGATACCACGCAGGATATACGGCACCAGAGAATCCAGCTGGGGGTTCGATTCGCGCCTGGCAAAGTTGAATGTCATGTCAGGTCAGTCAGCTGAGATGTCCTCTTTCTCTAGATGAATCCACATCCTCATCCACATCAAGCCGCACATACCCGTAGAGGTCAGGAAGGGTTAGCGAGAAGAGACAGTTGCTGATCGCCAAGCGCTTCGACTCTTCGTGAACCTCCTGCCTGGCCCCCCCCGACACCCTCGATACGGAGGCAGCCTTGACGGCGCGCTTCCAGCAGGGGAGGAGGTAGTCCATGAGGGGCTTGTCCTTGGGCCAGCTGCCCGCGGCTTCGAGTATGGCCTGGTCGAGGTTGGCTGTGGTGAGCTTGAGGGGGTCGCCGGCCTCGTTGAGCTCCTGGTTCAGGCCGGGCAGGAATGTGAGGCGCTGGCCCGTCGGGGTCGACATGTTGTGGGGGTTTACGGTGATGCGGAATATGTGCGAGAGGGTGCGATTGGCGTAGTCCTCATCGGTCTCGACGGTTTGGGGGTTCGGCTTACGCACTGCAGGCGCCGGCGGCGCGGGCGCGGAAGCGGAAGCGGAAGCGGTATCGGCTGGTGAGCCACCATCATCATCGTCAACAACGTCTGACGCAGGCCGCTTGCGGGGGCAGGGGCGGAGTGTACCTGATGAGCTGCCTGTGGCAGGCCGTTTCTCCTGGAGACCGGGACCGGGCTTGGAGAGAGGATTGGGAGAGGAGGCGGTTGAGGAGGAGGCTGATGGCGCCGCAGTCGCGGCCGCAGCTGGTGCCTGCGACGACGACGCGGCGGCAGGTTTCGAGCCGTCGGCGCTGCTCTCTTCGGATCTGGGCGTCGACGACCCGAGCTTGGCCAGACGCCTGGCTCTGATCTAGACGGGGGAGCGGCGTGTCCGTCAGTGAAAACTGCAAGCACGTGGTATGGTGGTAACTGTGCGTGTGCGTATCATACCTGTTCCATCTTTTCCTTATCCGGGGCGTCGGGGCCCGCCGGTGGCAAGTTAGGGTCCATGATTATCGGCTTGCTTCCTCTGACCCCGGAGCAGAAGATGTGAAGGCGGGCGTCTTTGGGGAGAGGGGGAAGAAGAGAATGCGATGATCTATGTTGGAGGGGATGGCGTCGGTTCGAGGTTTGCGGTCGATCGTCTTGGTGATTGCTAGTGTGAGGTCACCAGGCCGATAACTTGCTGGCGCTCTAGGATCTTGCAGGTGCTCGGTGGCAGTGGTGGGGGGGGGCAGGTCCTTCGGTTGATGGGCACGCACTAGATGCGGGGATTTGGTAGGTGGTTTACAGTGGTCGTTGCTGCCTGTAGTTGAGGGTCCGGGCCATTTTAAGCGGTGGGCTGCTGAGGTGGTGGCCTGGGACGGTTCCGACGGTACTATGGCTTCCGTGGAGCACCGCTGATCTGTTATCAGTCTAGAGCAATAGAAGGCGATGGAAGCAGGAAAGAAGTGCCAGCCGGGAAGAAGTGCGAGCAGGAAAGAAGTATCAGCCACAAGGCGAGGAAGGGTTTCCAGATAATCGACTAGGCTGTCTTATTGTTACTATTGTTGAATTATCGGTCGGAGAATGCAAGTCTTGTAGACTCTCTCAGAACTTCCCTCTCTTATTATTCCTCACTGTTCCATCGGCTCGCCGCCCACCTGCTCAGCAAGACATTCCGCGAGTTTCCAAACTCCGCAAGTCGCCCATTATTACGTGCTTCGGCTTGGCCACAACTCCGCAGACCCAAAAGGCCGCCCTGGCATTCTTCTTGCCTTCCCTTTCTGCCTTCCTACACCCGATTCATGTATACGACTTCAACGGTCGATCTGACGTAGCAAGGTGGAGGTAATAGAGGGGACAAGAGTAAGGAACATGAAGAATGGAAAGGGGACGGTCACCCCGAGTTAGCAAACCTCCCTACCAGTAGTTCTCTACCAGCTGTCATCACATCTAGTATACTCCATGTACGCTCCGAGGGTATTACGTTATCGCGTACACTCCGACCCAACTCCTTGCCAGACAAAAGATCAAAAGAAAATATACGGCTCGTTCTCCCATCCACTCTTTCCCATCTCCTCCCACCATGGCATCGACCATGATGTAGCCTTCTCCTTCACAGTCGGGGCACGTCCATATCAGTGCCCGACGACCGTCTCCTGACAGGACGCACAGCCGTGAACGCAGCCGGCAACCCCCCCGACGATGACCCGTCAGTCGAGCTGTTATCGCGGCGTATGGCGGCGGCCGCCGCAGCAGAAGCAGCGTTGGACGACGCTGTCGCGGCGGCGGCGTTGGTGCTGCTGTTGGCCGCAGCCCGGATACGGCCCTCTTCTCTGCTCCTGTTGAGGAGCCAGTTGACGTGCATGCGCATCATGTTGATGTTGTTCCTAAGCTCCGTGACCTCCTCGCGGATGGGCATGACCTGGTTGAGGGTCCACATGCTCTGGCGGGCCTCGAGGTGGGTGAGGTTCTGGTGGACCTCTTCGAAGCCGGCGTCGAGGTCCTGCATTGTGCGGTGGTGGCTGTCACTCATATGCGAGGCACCCGAAGACTCACCGGCGCCGGTCACAGATGCTGCTGCGGCCGAGGCAGTGCTGCGTCGGGCTGGCGGGGCCGACATGTTGTGTTCGTCGACGTCGTCGAACCGTTGCTGCCAGGCATCTTCCCGATGGCGGCGGAAATCTTCCAGCTGGCCCCCCAGGCTGCTGTACGTCTGGAGGAGGTCGCGCTGGGAACGGATGACGGCGCCCGAGGCTGTCTCCGGGTGGAAGGGACACTCGGCCAGGTGGTGGGCCAGGTCACCCCTCTCGACGCGGACGGGGCAGCCGACGTCCTGGAAGGAGCAGGCGACCTGGACGCCATCGCAGTCCATCTCGTGATGCGCAGGCATGGAGGACCGGCAGACGAGCTGCCAGCAGAATAAGCAGCGCGTCTTGGACCTAGGGCACGCGGTGAGGAGGTGACGCTCGCGGTCGGCCTCATCCATATCGAGGTCGCAGTAGCGGCAGCGGGTGGCGATGTGACGGCACAGCAAAGAGGAGCCGCCGCCGTCGTCGTCGTGCTCGCTCTCGGCGGCGGCACCGGAACCAGGCTTCCCCATCAGCTTCTTGGTGCAGTCCGGGTCCGGGCAGGGGTACTCCCTGAAGTGGCACTCGGAGTTGGCATGAGTCTCGACAGCCTCGCGCCTGAGATCCTGGACGCATCCCCTTGAGCGGTTCGGGCACCGCACCAAGAGGCCGTTGAGCTGGGCACGCACCAGCCTCCCGGCGCTGACACACTCGGACCACGCGAGGGGATCTCGGTCGACCGGGCAGGCGGTTCCCGAGGGGCTGGAGGCAATGCTGCGCCGGAGGCATCGGTAGCAGAATGTGTGGTCGCATGGCGTGGTGACAGGGTCAATCATGGGGTCGTGGCAGATGGGGCAGAGCAGCGTCGCGTCGGGTTCCGTCACGTAGGTCAGGGAGTACATGTCCAGGACGGCCTCGCCGCCGTACTTGGACGGTATGTCGAGCGACGAAGGGTGCGGGACCAGGGCCGGGCCGGATCTGCGCGCCGGGGAGTTGTAGGGTCGGGGGTTACTACGCTGCTGTTGGTGCTGCTGCTGTTGCCCGAGGCTGTGTCGGGGCGGCGGGGGCGTAGGCGCATGCATGGGCGCGACGTTTCCGGCGGCCATGTTGCTGTAGTACGAGTCGGGAGACGGCGGCGGCCGGACAAGGCTCGTGACCAGGTCGGGCGTGGGTGAAGCCCGGCGCATGTTGCGTCTGGCGAAGCGGCGGGCAGCGGCGGGGCTCATGCGGTATCCATCGTCGCTGGATGAATCCGATGAGGGGATGCTGAGTGTTGACGGTGCTCCCCCCCGACGGGGCCGGAGATTTGTAGAATAGGGCGGTGGGCTTGGCGTCCTCGATCTCGAGGATGAGGGCTGGCCTGATGCCATGATGGGTGGCGGCGGGGTTTTGAGGGAGAGGAGGGGTGGGTAATCTGTGACGTCCCCTTTCGGACCCTCTCTCTCTCTCTCTCTCTCTCTCTGGCTTTTCACCGCTCTCTGGCTACTGCAAGGCTGGTTTGTGCACGTAGCCGGTCTGAGGGCCTGTAGGTGATGAAATGCGGACGGGGATGCTTTATGCGAGATGGCATGGACCCTGTATGGTAGTTGTTGTAGACGATAGCTTTGAGGTCCAGAGCCGTTCGCCCGTGGTGGAGTGATAGCTACTACGAGTCCATGCTGTTGAACTATTGTTACTGTATGGGCTAGAGGCGGGGTGGCGGTTGTACGAGTAATGAGTTGGCATGTTTATCATGGCAGGAATACGATGTAATAATGACCAACTTGTCTTCTTCTTCTCTCTTTTTTCTTCTTCTTTTTTTTTCGCTGGTATCAATACTAGCAATATAATATTGGTAATAGTAGCATCAGAACATGTTCAAGTAGGGCATACACTGCTAGTAAATCGAGTCTCAGATGCCCTCTATCAATAATCCGGATGAATAATACTTTGGACGGCGTATTACTATGGAGTCGACACCTGGTAATTATCAGTGGCCAGGTACATGTCCACATACCCTTCTACCACCAACACTCTGACTTCTACAGGGGGTTACTACCAGACTCGCTCCCAACGCCGCAGGCGCTATCCACAAGCCTAGGCCAGGTGGCTGGGCGCTGCAGCAAATGAGCTGTCCGCTAAAACGGGTTACCATCTACCCCCCAATGGTTCGGTACTACGACCTCAGAGCAGCGGCACCCAACTAACTGCCCGGCAATGCTGTGTTCATGGATGTCTTCGCGTGGCAATTGCATGTCGTAAAGCACTCGCTTGTGACGGTGCTGCATTTGGCACTGGGGTGCTTGTATATCCGTATCTATATATCCATATGGGGGGACATTGTATCCGGAAGGAAACATCACGATTCTCATCAACATAATCTGCCAATATTATGATATTACACCACCATCATCCCCATTGGCCCCGGACCCCTCCCCCGCAAAAACCGCCCGACCCTCGTCCCTGCGCGCGGGGTGGTGACCTGCTCATGATATAATGGCTCTTTCGCCGCAGCCATTTCCGATGTACCTTTTGCAGCCCAGACAGTGTTCCTTCTCTCTCTGTTCAATTGTCCGTATTATCAATATCGTCGTGACTGCGTGACATCAGAAACCCTCCCCTTCTTCCTTCACGAGCCACTATGAAGAGGCATCCTCTATACTACTTTACTACTACTACTACTTGGGTGGTTCTATCTGATACGTTAATCGTTCGTACATCTTGGTCCGTAGAGCCCATGCCCGTCTTCTCTGTGCCGCGGGTCCCACATTCACATGATACCGGGGTTATTTGGCAGCGAAGATGGCATATTCGTACGAGTACAGCTAGACCGTCGGAACGCTTTCACATGTCAGCCACCCTCCAACGTCCCGCCTCAGGACCCCATGACGGTATCTCGTCGCGGCACCGGCACAACGGACTGCTGCTATTAGCCCAACACCCCGAGCCGAGACTCCAGGCTTTCTTCCTCCGTTCCCTCTTCTTCTCTTCTCTGTCTTCCAGGAACAGATCCCTGGGGACCTATGGACCCGTTAAGACTTCCCGCCTTGACCAGCTGACCTTCCGTCCCCCTCCCCCCCCCCTCCACAACGTGTCCCCTGTTCCCCCAGCTTTTCTATTCAATCTTGTTATATTCTTATTCGAAGAGGCCCACCTCCCATCCCTCTCCTCCTCAGCCTTCCCCTCTCTTTCTTCCTTCCTCCTATGTGCCCTGGCCCCAGATAACTGTCCATCTCTACATCTAGCAGGGGCACGACCTATACTACGAGTATAGCCGACAACGGCAACGGAGTGACCTGAACAGCCATGTCCTCGCGCGACGTTTGAGAGACATCCCCCTCATACCTCCATCATGATTGACCACATGCTTGGACGCCCGTCGTCCAAGTCTCGACGCCTTCAGGTTCTCGCCGTCATTTCCTTCTGGTCCGCCTACCTCTACAGGTAAGTTCAATGCCTCTTCGGCACAGCCCTGGACCTGGTCCCTTCCCTCCCCAGCTAACAAGGCCGTTTCCAAAATGAACAAGAGGACACAGACATGGCCCTCCCGGTGCCCGTGCATTCTCCAAGCTGCTATCGAGGAGACTTACAGCATGGCAGACGGTCGTCGTGACCATGCTCTACCTGTACGCGGCGCGCAACTTCAGCGCCCTCGTTGGCCTGGCGAGCCCCGAGCCCATGGCCAACATGTACGACGCCACCTTCTTCCGGGCGACGTGGGTGCTGACGGCCCTGGATGCCGGATTCTGGACGGCCATGCGGATCCGGTCCAAGTGGCTGCGTGACATCGCCAGCATCGTCTTCTCCGTCTTCTACCTCTTCGCTACCGAGAGCGCCGACGAAAAGGTGCGCAAGGTACGCGGCATGCTGACTGTGGAGCACCTGCGTGTATCGTGGAACAAGAGCACGACGCCCTACATCAGCTTCTCGCAGGGCCTCTTGCGTCCGCGCTTTACCCGCTGGCCGCCGCGCCAGGTACGCATCCAGCGACCTTCGGCCAGCGACTACCGCGACCCCGTCGACGCCTGGCTCTTCTACGACGGTCCCCTGGCCGACCTGGCCTACCACGACCGCGTCATCCTCGATATCCCCGGTGGCGGGTTCGTTGCCATGAACCCGCGGTGCAACGACGACAAGCTATTCGCCTGGGCCGCCAAGTCCGGCCTGCCCATCCTCAGCCTCGACTACAAGAAGGCGCCCGAATTTCCCTACCCCTACGCTCTAAACGAGTGCTTGGACGTGTATACCACGCTGACCCAGTCGCGCGGCCGCTGCATCGGCATGTCGGGCAAGAAGCAGCCCAGGATCATCATCACGGGTGACAGCGCGGGGGGCAACTTGGCCGTGGCTTGCACCCTCATGATACTCGAGACCCGCCTGCCTCAGTTCCGCCGCTCGGCCGCCAGGGCTGACCTCCCTCCGCCGGAGGGGCTCGTCTGCTTCTACCCTTGCCTCGATACCAACATTGGCAACTGGATGTCGGACGAGCAGATGTCCCTGATCCGTGACCGCAATATGCGGACCGTCAACAAGCCCATTGTACGTCGAAAGAGCCAGCAGTACGACGACCTGGTCGGTACACCGCACCATTCCGATGTCGAGGACGATGCCGTGGTTACGCCACCAGAGGATCGGGGCGAGTACGAGTCTACGACGGCGGCGGCGGCGGCGACAACGGCGGCGAAGACGGCGACTGCGCCGAAATTGTCTGACCTCCCGACAAAGCCCGACTCGGCCCTCCATGCCGGTCCCATGAAAACCCGGCTGGCGACGGCGTCGATGATCTCTTACTTCAACGACCGCGTCCTCACCCCCGAGATGATGCGCTCCATCATCATCCTCTACGTCGGACCGCACAACCGCCCAGACTTCTCGACCGACTACCTCCTCAGCCCCGTGCTCGCACCCGACGCTCTACTAGCCGAGTTCCCCAAGACGTACTTTATGACAGGCGAGAGGGACCCGTTAGTAGACGACACTGTCATCTTTGCTGGGAAGCTCCGGCGCGCAAAAGTGGCAGCTTCAGCTGCGGCTCTCCGACGGGGGATGTACGACGACGACGGCCTGACCGACGAGCAGCGCCTCCAGAAGCTCGGCCTGGCAGAGGTCATGCTCATACCCGGGACATCCCACGGCTTCATGCAGTTCCCCTCTGTCTACCCGCCCGCTTGGAAGCACCTCGACCGCTCGGCTCAGTGGTTCGACCAGCTGTACGCTCACAACGACGAGATCCGGGAGATGCGCCGCGGGAGGAGCGGACGCCGGAATGATGCCCGCACGTCTACTGGCGGTGCTGCTGGTGCCGTTCCGGTCCCGACCGCGGGTCCCGTTGGCGAGGCGACCGGAATCAACGGGACGGTCCACCCCCACCCGGATACGCCGGCAGAGTCTAGCGGGGACGAAGATAGGCCGCTAGAGATGACCAAGGTTTCAAGAGGTGGGAACGTCACGGAAAACGGGACTGGACGCAAGGGCAACTTGGGTGGTGGTGGTGCCGACGAGCCAACGAGAGCCGGTGGGTTGTCCGTCAACAGACGTCCCGGAGGGATGGTGAGGAACAAGACGCTCAGCAAGCTGAGCAGCGAGGAGGACCTGCTATCCAGAAGGATGAATGGTCTGGCGGGCGGCCTCACGGGTGCCGGCAGTGGCCATGACGAGTAGTACTCGTACTTCCAAGACCCTTGGTAGGAAAGAGTGCGGCAAAGTAGTGGAGTTTAGAGCTTGATTTTTTTTATATTTTTTTATATTTTATATTTTTTTTATATTTTTTTTTGGAATCGAGAGAGGGAAGAGAAGAGAGCAATCTGCATTGACACGTTTTTAGATGATTCAGGATAGGCGATTGGATGCTTCTCTATGCATCATTATAGAATGCCAATTGGACACCTGATACTACTAGCAGGGACAGGTTATGCGAGTACATGTATTATTATACTCATGTTGATGTTGGGCGTACGTTGCACGCGCAGTTAGACCCAATCATGCTATTTGCTATCCGTTACTGACGTAGCAAGACATACATCGCTTACCTGCATTCCTACTACTATCTGAGCTAATCTAAACTACTACCGGTTTCTCACATGAACATATCTGTAGAAATGCTCGGAGTATCAGAATATCATTGCACCGTAAGGACCGCAAGGACCGCAAAGACCACAAGGAGGGAGGGGGCGGGGCAGAGTAAGGGAATCCCCAGCCATCTACTCGTAGCGTAAAGTCCCATCCCTCCCACATGAAAGATCTCATGTGTCATGGACTCGCCAATTTAGTGTCGTTGGTCGGAAAGGACGGCTAGCGTGCATTGAGCAATGCGAGAACGAGCAAATAGCTAATCAATGACGTGGCCATGAGATCTCTCCTTTGTTCATGATGCAAGGTGCAGAGGTGCAGAGGAGCTCTTTCCCTCCCTCTCTAGCCAACTCTTCATACGAGAACGTGCAGCTCTACCTGCCTAGTATCGATACTGATAACCATACCGATAATACTACTGGTGAGGGGCCGACGGGCGGCGCCCTCATACGTAACGCAGTCGGGATATCCGGCAGACCTATGGGGCTCTGATGGCGGGCGTGATTCGCAGATGGAGTACGGACGGGTAGCCAGTAACGCAGCTGACACCCTTTTAGACTCTTGCCATGCAGGAAATCTTTTACTACTAGTACCGCACGTATATGTAAATGCTGTAAACGATACGATGTGCCGCGGCAGTTCTGGAGTGGTTATGGTAGATAGTAGCATCTGTATGATGAAATAGGTCCATGGAACCGGTTGCCTCTTGCCGATCCGGGGGAAGCTGAAGCTCTCGTTCCTTGGAGCCCAGAGGGAAGGAAGGAGCTTGTGTGTAAGGCTCTCAGGCTCCTTCCTTTCCTACTTCATCCCTCCCCGGCCCTCCCCCCCTTCGGCTCCCACTATCCTCTCCCCCTCCCTCTCCCTCTCCCTCTCCCTCTCCCTCTCCTCCTCTTGCTATAATATATGAGGAGTTCGCCATTGAAGGCAGATATTATCGACTTGAGCCTTGCTGGACACCTTTTGGGACATCACTATCCCTGATAACTCAAACGCTCAACGCCACAATGGTACACCTGAGCAGCGTCACCCAACGGCCGAAGGAGGATGAGGCATCATCCTCCTCTTCTTCTACGTCGACCATCAGCGAGGCACGCAAGATCGCCAAGAAGAAGTTCCATCTCAGCCTATCCCAGTACACCGATGATTTCACCACGAGTGTCTACGGCTCCCGGTTCGCCGAGAAGACTCTCCCTAGCCACCATATGCCCGAGCTGGAGATGCCCAAGGATGTTGCCTACCGCTTGATCAAGGACGAGCTCAGTATGGACGGCAACCCCAAGCTCAAGTGAGTGTCGAGTCCCCGACGTCCAGTTCACGGTCAGCGGGTCTTTCTGCTGACTCTTATTACCTTCTTTGCAGCCTCGCTTCATTCGTCACGACTTACATGGTACGTTGACCTCGCTGTCTTACACGAACAGGACCGAGGATGATGATCTAATCCGGTATGGATGAAAACAGGAAGATGAGGCCGAGAAGCTCATGCAGGAAGCCCTCCCCAAAAACTTCATCGACTACGAGGAGTACCCCCAGTGCGCCGAGATCCAGAACCGCTGCGTCAACATGATTGGCGACCTCTTCCACGCCCCCACCGGAGACGCCATCGGCACCTCGTGCGTCGGCTCCTCCGAGGCCATCATGCTTGCTGTGCTGGCCATGAAGAGGCGTTGGAGGCTCCGCCGTGAGTCTGAAGGCAAGCCCTTTGATAAGCCCAACATCGTCATGTCCTCGGCCGTCCAGGTCTGCTGGGAAAAGGCTGCGCGCTACTTTGAAGTCGACATGTACCTTGTCTACTGCACCCGCGAGAGGTTCGTCATCGACCCGGAGGAGACGGTGAATATGTGTGACGAGAACACCATTGGCATCTGTGCCATTCTCGGCACCACGTACACGGGAGAGTACGAAGACGTCAAGGCCGTCAATGACCTTCTCATGGAGAAGAACAAGGATATTCCCATCCACGTCGACGCTGCCAGCGGCGGCTTCGTCGCGCCTTTCGTCTCCCCCGACCTAGTCTGGGATTTTCAGCTGCCAAAGGTCGTGTCCATCAACACGTCTGGCCACAAGGTAGTTCATGACTTGACAAGATCCCTTGGCCTCGAGAGTTGCTGACAAGGTATCAAGTACGGCCTCGTATACCCCGGTATCGGCTGGGTTATCTGGCGTTCATCCGAGTATCTTCCCAAGGACCTCGTCTTCAACATCAACTACCTTGGCGCCGACCAGTCATCCTTCACCCTCAACTTCTCCAAGGGCGCATCCCACGTCGTGGCCCAGTACTACCAGCTCATCCGCCTCGGCCGTCACGGCTACCGCGCCATCATGAGCAACGTGACACGCACCGCCGACTACCTGGGCGAGGAGCTTGAGAAGCTAGGCTTCGTCATCATGTCGCAGCCCTCGGGCGGTGGCCTCCCTCTTGTTTCGTTCCGCTTCCCCGACGTGCCCGAGGGCGAGGATGCAGGCGACCGTCACTACGATGAGTTTTCGCTCGCCCGTAGTCTGCGCTCCAGGGGCTGGGTCGTCCCCGCCTACACCATGGCCCCCAAGACGGATGAACTCAAGATGCTGCGCGTTGTCGTCCGCGAGGACTTTTCCCGTAGCAAGTGCGACATTCTTCTGGCCGACATCAAGCTGTGCCAGGAGCAACTTGTCTCGCTAAACCGCGACGCCCTCAAGGCCCAGGACGACTTTATCAAGAAGCACATCTCGGCCCATGGCCGCCTGGCCTCGTTTAACAAGCACCACTCCCACCACACATACAAGGTATGATGACCCCGTCAGCTGTCTGAATGTTGAAGATATTAACCATGACGTAGGATGAGAAACACTCGCTCCAGGGCAAGACGGGCAAGACGCACGGAATATGCTAGGACATCACACGGCACCATAGGGGATATAGAGTCAAGGTGATGCTGAATAAATATAAAGATTCTACGTGCGGCTTCTCCTTCGTTCCATCAGCCTGCTACTGGTATCTTCTACACAGCATGTCTTCGCCATGCACCAAAACAAATAACGATGGAGTGGACCGAGGGAAATACAAAGGTCTCGGTCCAAATGACTTTTTGAGGTGAAATAAACTTCGATATGAATCATGATTTCTTCTGCTCAGCCGGTGTTTCATGACCGGGTAGACGCGATGGCATCCTCGAGGATATCCAGGCCCAGGTTGATCTCGTCATCGGTGACGTTCAGGCTAGGGACGAAGCGGAGCGTGTTGGTGCCAGCAGTGATGATGAGCAGACCCCTCTCACGCGCAGCCTTGACAATGGGGGTAGGATCCTGGGTCATCTGCAGGCCGAGCAGGAGGCCACGGCCGCGGACCTCGGTGACGGCGTCGGGGTACCTGTCCTTGAGGGCAGCGAAACGAGCGCGGAAGAGGTCGGACTTGCGAAGGACGTCCTTCTGGAGCTCGGGATCGGCGAGGCGGGAGACCATGTGGTGAGCGACGCGGCAGGCCACGGGGTTGCCGCCAAAGGTGGTGCCGTGATCGCCGACCTTGATCTTGTCGGCTACGGCGCGGGAGACGAGGACGGCACCGACGGGGAAGCCGTTACCCAGGGCCTTGGCGGAGGTGACGATGTCCGGGTGGGCCTCGACGGGCAGGTGGCCATGGGCCCAGAGGCTGCCGGAGCGACCGAGGCCGCACTGGATCTCGTCGTGGATGAGGACGGCGCCGACCTCGCGGCACCTGCGGGCCAGGGCGACGAGGAACTCGTCCGAGGCGACGCGGACGCCACCCTCGCCCTGGATGGGCTCGACGATGACGGCGCACGTCGAAGGCGTGACGGCGGCCTCGATCCCGGACACGTCGTCGAAGCCGGCCTGGACGAAGCCCGGCACCATGGGCGCAAAGGGCTCCTGGTACTTCGGGTTGTGCGTGGCCGACAGGGCGCCCATGGTGCGGCCGTGGAAGGCGCCGTCAAAGGAGACGACGCCGGTCTTGGCGCCCGACGGGTCGACAACCTTGCCTGCCTTGCGGGCAAACTTGATGGCCGCCTCGTTGGCCTCGGAGCCCGAGTTGCAGACGAAGACCGAGGCGGCATCGGCCATGCAGCCGGCCTCCAGCGTCTTGTCCACCAGCAGCTTGGAGAGTGCGCCGGTCCAAGGGTTGTAGTATAGGTTCGAGGCGTGGACGAGGGTCTTGGACTGAACACACCCGAGGCAGGTTAGCGGCCCTGACTCTGAGCCCAAAAGTGCATGGCAAGGAGAGGGTAGAAGACTGAAGAGAAGAAGAGAAGGCAAAAAGTAAATGTTCCTCATAAAAAAAAAAAAAAATTACCTGATCGGCTACAATATTGGCAACATCCGGGTCACAGTGACCGAGGGCATTGACGGCTATACCGGCGGTAAAGTCGAGATACTTGCGGTCCTCAACGTCCCAGATCCACGACCCGGATCCCTTGACGAAGACGGGCGGAGGGCGCGCGTACGTGGCTACCATGTACGGGGCGTGTTCGGCGACGAGTGCTGCGGAGGACGAGTCGGATGAAGGGTCGGGATTGGGGAGCTGTCTCTGCGTGTTGTATATTTAGCTTTGAAATCTTTTATATAGAATTTTTTTTAATTTTCGTTTTTTTATGTTTAATCCTTTGAATTCTTTCCTTTCAATCTTTCTTCCACTCTTTCGGTTCTGATGAGATTTCTGCCCCTCTCCAGACACAAACACACACACACACACACGCGCACGCACCTTTTGCGACTTCAACGCCGTGGTCGAGGTAAACGTTCTCTTGGAGAAGGAGATGGAGCAGGACCGACAGCAGAGGCCGGAACCGGCCATGACGGTCGCTAATTGGCGCCGGGCGGAGATGCGAAGAGCCATTATGAATTGAGGGACGAAGTACTTCCCAAGAGTTGTTGTTGTTGAGGGAGGGGAGAAGAAGAGGAGGGGGGGGGGAGAAGCAAAGAGAGAGTGAGAGTGGTTCGTGTGAGCTATTACTTTTTCCCTCTTGTTCCTTGGTAATAGAAAGAGAGAGAGAGAGAGAGAAAAGATCGAGCATCGGCCTTGACTTATCGATAGTGTGCCGAACCTGCGTCGCTTCTTCAATTGCTGGTCCGGTATCGCTCGAGTGATATATGCATGTTCCATCGTTAGTGCCACTATATATAATCTGTAGTCTACCATGATGAGAAAATAATGAGAAAACACTGTACATCTACATCTATAAATATCACTCCCTGGAACATGGCCGGTATGGATCACAGCAGTGTCATGGAACGGAGGGGTAAAAGTCTTCTTTCATCGGTTTTTATTTGACTGTTATTCATTCAACGCTCTTCTATACAATCCTCACACATACCACCACAAAGATGAGATACATCACCTGACATCGGAAAGAACAAGGAACCCGAAACGAATAGAAAAAAATATTCTCGTGTAGACAGATTATGCATACAATTGTGGTGCTCGTACATGTAAAAAAAAAGACAGGGACAACAGTAAGGAGAAAAGAACGAGCATGAGGGAGAAGAAGAGGGAGAAAATGTGTCAAGATAGAAGAACAAACATGAAAGAGCAAAAAGAAAACTATATAAAGAAAAATAAGAAAATCAAAAAATCAAAACGCCCGTTCACTGTCCCTAGATTTGTCTCCAAGAAGTAACCCCCTCATAGCCACCGTATTCTACGCCGCGCCAACGTCTCCACACCCCGTGAAGATGAAGCATCTAGACTGCACTGTACCCGCCACGGTTTCCAGTTCCCTGGACCGTGTTGAGAACCCGACGGGTCCAGTCCTTAAGTAGGAAGGGCACGTCGCGGAGCGTGTCGCCGTGGGGGACGAGGTCCCAGCCGCGGGCTCCGTAGCGCGTGTAGTTGAGCCACGATCCAAAGATGAGGTACGCGGCGGTTCCCATGAAGACGCTGGTTATACAATGTCAGTCATGATCTCCGACAATGGACAGATACGGGGGGAGAAGAAGAAAAAGAGAAGAAGAGGGAAAAAAAGGGGGGGAGGGGTAAAATCTCTCACAGAATAAACGCCCAGGTAAAGAAGCCCCAGCTCTGAGGCTTTTTGGAGCCATCTTCGCCATCCTTGCCGTCGCCTCCACCGTCGCCATCGCGCTTCTCACAGGCATACTTTGTATGCCACGTCAGACGGAGGATATCAGCATCCTTGTCCTTGTTGAAGCCGTAGCCGTCCCAGATGAGAGCCGTGTCATTCTTGACGAGCTGATGCTCTATCCCGGACTCGGAGCCGTCGTCGTCCTCGTCGCCTCCGTCCTTGCCCTCTCCCTCACCACGAGCCTGCAGGGGCTGGCCGGTTGCAGTCGTAGTCGTAGCCGTAGCGGTCTCATACTCGTCTTCGGACGCCCACTCCCCCTCCAGACCGGTCCTGTTCGTATCGCACAGGAACTCGAGGACGGCCTGCTGCTGACGCCTCTGCTTGACGGGGCCGGAGAGGGGGTGCTTCCCACCCTTGAGGACCAGGCGCAGCCCCTCCTTTTTCGAGTCCGAATTGGAGTCGCTCGTCTTGAGCCTCGTGGCCTCGTACTCGAATCCCGTGCCGCCGACGTTCTCGAGGTTGCCCGCCACGGCGACAACCTTGGTCACCAGGTCCGCTTCGTCCTTGATAGTTCGTTCGATGGCACAGACTGTGCAGGCCTGTCAGCATCGTCTAAAGGGAGAGGGAGAGGCCGAGAAGGGCAAGGCCGAGAAGAAGGACTGACCTCTGGTTCCGTTGGGGCACTGATCACCCTTCTTGTCACCACCGCTCTTCTTGAGGGGCTTGCAAATGTCCACCGTATACGTCGTGTTGAAGTGCGTCTCGGCGAGAGACTCCCACCGCGACGTCACCACAGAGTGGGGACCTCCCAGCTTTGACAGGTCAAACAACTGGCCGTCCACGATGATCTTTTCACATTGCAAGTTGCCCGCTGCGGCCGTGGACGATGCCGCCAGGAGGACGGTGGAGAGTGACATGAGCCATGATGTTGGACGATGCATCTCTGCTGCCTTCTATAGTTTAATCTTCGGCTCTGTGCGTTCCCGCGTGCTTGTCCGTGTGCGTGCTTGGCAGCCTTTGCACTTGTAGAGGCGCTTCGCTCTTTCGTCCCGAGGAGGGAGAACAAAAAAAAGAGGGAGAAAATTCGATAGGTCGTGAGTTGGGAGAAATCGAGCTCGGGCGTATGCTGATTATGCGTTTATGATGCGTATGATGATCAGGTTCTCCGTATCCCTGACCACATATGTTTATGTAGAGAGAGAGAGAGAGGGAGAGGGAAAGTTGAGCTGTCGCGATCTCCAGAATTGATCAGCTTCCTGACTTGGGGGGGCGCTGCCGGGAGCCCGATTGTGTCATCATTCGCCAAACCGAGCTCAGCTTGGCCCGTGAAAGCCGTCAAGTCACGTGAGCACCAGGAAATCATATAATCCTCTCAACCTCAGGACGGCGTAATAATAATGATAGTCATCAAGGTCTCTCATATATATGGGTAGGTGTCATACACCCAAAGAAAATTAAATAGTTCTTGAGTCCTTGCTTCTTCACGAGATCACCGATCTCGCACTTGATTATTGAAAAAGAAATGCCGTCTTGTCGTTACAACTGTAGCTGATACTCGTACTCCATCTGTATATTTCCCTCTTGCTCCTGACTGCCATACCATACCCTCCCCTCATACAATGAATGGATTCCTCCTATCGATGGACAGAAAGGCCAGAATGATACATGAATCCATCTCCCTCTTTTGCCGCTCGACGCACCGATCAACATGGAGAAATCTTATAGAAAGAAAAAAGAATGATGGGGGGGGGGGTTGAAGAAGAAGAAAAGGCAGGAAAAATAAAAAAAATAAAAAGAACGCTGCCCAACGGGGTATAAAAACACCAACGAAATAAAAGCCTCCCTCCCTGTTCCGGTTTTCGTCTCCCTTAAATAAAACAAAGAAATGAGAAAGGAAAAAGAAGAGGAAACGCCGGTTCGACCCTCTCAACACCGTTAAAATGACCTGGTAGTGATAGTCCTCTTGAGGGGGGGGGTGGGGGGGGAGGGATATGCCAACGTTGCAGGTTCGCAGGCTACACGGCCCTGCACGTCCAGCCCATCCGTCAGCCGCTCATTCGCCTGCCGTCTAGGAGAGTTTGCGGAGCAGCCCCCATCCTTCTGCGAGTCCGGATGCTCGCCGTCATTGTCCTACAACTGACCGCCGGGTTGGCCCCCTGCTCCTCCCCCCATCATCCCACCATTCATGCCTTGCTGCATCGCGGCTGCCTGCTGCTGCTGCTGCAGCTGGTGCTGCTGCTGCACCATCATCTGCTGCTGCCTCTGGCGCTGGATCTGTTGCTGCATCGACTGCGATGCCTTGTGGAACGACTGCGTCTTGTACTGCTCTATGACTTCCTGGGGGATGTTCTCGCGGCCTCCAAACTTGTTGGCGGCCTCGTTGAGCATGGCGTTGAGGATATTCCTGGCAATCTGCTGCACCTGGACCTGCATCGACATTTGACCCATGCGCTGTGCCTGGATCTGCTGAGGGTGCTGTTGCTGCTGCTGCCCCTGCTGCTGCGCCTGAGCCTGCGCCTGGGCTTGCAACTGCTGCTGCATGGCGAGCGCGTGCTGCATGTTAGCGTTCCCGCCGCCGTTGATCACCTGGTTGCTGACCTGCCGCTGCATGTTGTTGGCCCCTGCCATGTGCTGCATCCTCGCGATCTGCTGCTGCATCTGCACCATCTGTGGCGACATCTGGCGCATCTGGCTGCCATGCATGCTTTGCAGAGACTGGGCGTATTGCTGGGCCAGTTGCTGCTGGGAGAGCATGCCGGCTTGCTGTGGCTGCTGCGGCTGCTGCTGCTGCTGGGGGTGCTGCTGCTGATGCTGCTGTGCCTGCTGCTGCTGCTGCTGCTGCTGCTGCTGCTGCATCATCATCTGCCTTTGCATGAGTTGCATCATGTGCTGCTGCTGCTGCGGCGACATCTGCGCGTGCATCTGGGGCTGCATGCCTCCCTGCTGCTGTGCCGCAAACGCTCGCTGGTGCGCAGCCATCTGTGCCATGAGCTGCGCATTCTGTGGCATGTTCTGTCCGTTCATCATCATCGGCTGGGCCTGGCCCATCTGAGAGTTCTGCGCCATCATGTTAGGCGGCGGACTAGCTTGTCCCATGCGGGGGGTAGCACCCATGGCCTGCGCTCGGCTGATGGGGGTCCCATGAGCCATTTGAGGCGTCGAATGGGGCATGCGCGGCGTTCCCGAGGGGTGGCTCTGCTGGCTGCCTCTGGCAGACATGTTATGCGCCATCGGTACCGACATGGCTGGATTCTGCACCACGGATGACGGGCGCGGGGGGCTTGCCGCCATGGTCGAAGTCGTCTGCTGCATGGGAATGCTGTTATTGACCATCGGCGACGAGAGGTTCTGCGGCGTTGGCTGGCGGACCGTCGGGGACGACGCCTGACCTTGTGCCACTTGTGCCTGGAACCTAGCTTGCGCCTGTGCCTGAACCTGAGCATGAGCCTGCGCCTGTGCCTGTGCCTGTGCCTGCGCCTGTGCCTGTGCCTGCGCTTGTGCCTGCGCTTGCGCCTGAGCCTGAGCTTGAGCCTGGGCATGAGCCTGGGCATGAGCCTGAGCCTGAGCCTGGGCCTGGGCCTGGGCCTGGGCCTGCTGGGCTGGGTTCTGGCCTCCCATGCCGTTAGGGCCCGCATTGACCGCACCGCCCGTGTTCTGTTGTGCCGGGTGGTTTTGCTGGCCCTGCGCCGCGTTATTGGCCTGGTTGTTGTTCTGATTATTATTACTGTTGTTGTTGCCGTTGGCCTGTGGCCTTGCCCGGGCTGCCATGGCCTGCCGCTGCGCTTGCTCAACCTGCTGGCGGGCCTGGCTCTCGCGCAGCGTAGCCTCACGCCTGGCCTTCTCCTCGTTTTGCTGCTGCTGCTTCTGTGCCTGCTGCTCCTGGAGGGCCTGTTGCTTTTGGGCCTGGAGTCGGCGGTCGTTCTCTTGCTGCTTGAGCCTCTCTTGCTCCTTCTTCTGCTCCTTCTTCTCAGCATGCTCCCTCTTAATGTCAGCCATGACCTTGAAGCGCTCGAATCTTGATTCAAACGAGCTCGCGCCTGTCTGGCCATCGGCGTCCGTGGCGCTCGTAGACTGGGAGCCGTTTGTCCCGCCTCGGTCGTCCATGAAGAGCAGGTAGCGCTCCTGTTCGGCAGCGGCAGCTTCATCCGCAGCCATCTCGGCCACGGTCCGCTTCCTGGTCTTGGGCTGTGGTGGTGGCTCCGAGTGCTGGGGATTTGACATGGCTTCCAGCAGCGCAATCTGTGCCTCGACGCTGGGCGCCTTGGCAGTGAGAATTAGTGGTTCTGCGGTGGCCAGGAGAATCTGTCCTTCTGCTGCGTGGATATTGCCGGGCTCCAGCTCCATCTTTTCCCGCTTGACACGCTTCGCGGGGGGCGGCATGCTCCCCGCTGTCGGCGTCTGCGGAACAAGAGATGAAGGCGTGGGCGGAGGTAATCCCGGGGTGGCCATGCCCGCCTGGGATGCCGGCGTCGTAGCCTTGATGAGAAGATCACGCTGCAGGCTTTCTGGCGTCGGGTGCAGGACTACCGTGAAGATCTTGGGCTTCGGTGGTGTCTTGGACTTCTGGCCCTCGGAGGCGGAAGCTGGCCGGCCCTCCTCCTCCTGCTTGACATCCTCCTTCTCAGTTTGCGGCGCATCCACGGCCTCGAGTTCTGATTTCAATTTCTCCTCGGCGGAGCCCTGTTCGTCCTTTGGAAATGGAGCATAGGGCGACGGGGTTAGGTAGGGGTTGTACTTATTGATTGAAGACCCTCCCGTTGGGCTAGACTTGGCTGGGCGCTGTGCATCCTTGGCCTGCGCAATGGACTTGTGGTCGTATATTTGGACGATGAGGCAGCCATCGTAAAAGGGCACGTCTGCCTGGATGAGGTATTCAAGGATGTCGTGGGGAATTGTGCGCTGCTTGATGTGTTCTATGAACATGGACATGGGGGATCGGTACGAGAACATGCCGTCTTGGCCATCGAATCGAAAATGCGTCGGGTGTAGGTGTACAATCAGGGAGGGCGGTCGGCCGGCATGCTTTTTCAAAACATACGGTGCGGTAATAGCTGAGGCGTTCACAGTTAGCGACCTAGGAGTGAAGATGAGATAAAAGAAGCAGGACGGCATAGAATGCGAACTCACCACCGGGCTTTGTTGCGCCACGGGCCGATCTTATACCGTTGCTCACGGGAGCCACACGAAGACCAGCGCTGTTCCCCAAATGCGTTCCGGCTTGCAATGTGCCTTCGCGGGGCATTCTGTTTGCCGGGCGGACAGTCGAGGTTGCGGAGATGGGGTGGTCAGCAACGATGCTGAGCTGCTGCTTCGCGTTGGCAGCGCCCAGCTTCTTGAATGCGGTGGTGGGCGACGCGGATGGTGGCATTATGGAGTTGGGCCCGTTCGTCTGGGGACCGAGGGGTATGGGACGTTTGATATTATTGCTGACTCCAAGCCCATTGGGCTGGGCGGGGGCGACGACGGGCGCCATGATGAGGATGTGAGAAAGGTTTTCGGGAGCGCTGCGCAAGGCAGCAAGTCTTCAGGGCGCGTGCGCTCCTCCCCTCTAGACAGACCAGCTTGTATTACCGTAATATGCCAGGGCAACACATGGGTTTATATTATTGCTGCTGGAGCTATTGTTATTGTCGAGTGTACGGGCAAGAAGAGATGAGAGGAGACAGGCGAGCGCGCGCGCAACGGTTCGAAAAGAATGGATTTTTTTGTCGCGTGATATGTAGCGCCGTTTGGGAAGGTGGGCGAAGGGGGGGTTAGGTTAGTTGGAAATCACTACCCCGATGTTTGCCCTGATGTTGATGATGATGGCGTAGTATTCCCTAGTCGGAACGAAGTCGCGGGGAGGTGACGGTGCAACGCGGTCGGCGTCGTGCAGCGCATGCGACCCGGCGCGGTTAGGCGTAATGGGCGATGATATAGGTGAAAGCGAGTGTTGTTTGTGATGGGCACCAGGGCATTCGCGATGGAACTGGCCGTGTCAGTGATGCCGGTAATCTTGGTGGTTCGCCGCATCACGGTTCCCCAAGTCTCCACGTGCCGCTAGGATGGGAAGTGAGAGCGACCAAGTCACGTGCCAGAGCTGATGCTTCCCACCCATTGAAACACCACTATCAACCTACCCCGTACTGCTTTACTGTGCTTTCCTGTGGACAAAATTCTGCGATGGAGCCCTATTTTATTATTATTTGGTATAAACATATCTGCCATATAGCACGACATCCTAGTCTCTTTCTTTCTTTTCCTTATTCGTTTCGTCGTGGGGCTCATGGTACATGAAGTCTCCCAAGTGAGGTTATATAGTGATAGGTAGTGTTAATATAACATACACAGATCGACATGAATCGACAACACTTCTGTTTATAATATTAGTACCAACATTCCCAGTTTATGACATGAATGTCAAAACACGAATTCCATAGATACTATATAGAAACGAGTACCAGTATAACCAGCAGTTAATCCATCATTCAAAGTAGCTGTTACTTGCGATAAAAGAAAAAAAAAACTATATACGAAATGTAGACCATGATATCATGCCCCCCCCCCCCCCCCCCCCCCCAATCCCCCAATCCCACTATATTCACTGTCAACTCCATACACACGCAACCCTTTACCAATAAGCCAACCGGTAGTGACAAGGACGTGTCAATTCTCATTCAGCACCCTGGACGCGACGCGCCCAGTCGTCGTGCACACGCATACTGTCCACAACAACGATCCCACGACCCCTACCGACCCTCTCAGGACGCTGCCACCACTTCTCCTCGCTCGGCTTCTCGGTCGTCGGCTTCTCGGCCTCGGATTCGCTGTCAGCCAGACCCCCGGCGCCACCCTCGGCGCCGACGATGAGGACGACGTCGTGGCGGAGCCAGGTCTGAAGGTTGGTGATGATGCTGCCGTTGTCGCCGGCCATGGACTCCTGGAGGTAGATGACTTCAGGCTGCAGGTGACGGAGGATGTGAACGTGTCCGTTTGGCGTGGTGAAGGGCAGGACCATGGCCTCCTTATCCACAATGGCGAGGGCTTGCGAGTAGACAGCCTCGAAGGCGGGGTTGGATGCAGGAGGGTTGGGACTGAGAAGGAAGTTAGTGACGAAGATGATTTAGACACAAGATGACAAGGACTGATAGCCGAAGAAAGTAGCAGACTTACGCTGATTGCTTAGCCTCTTCAGTAGGGCTCTGGATCTGCTCATTGCCGAGGTTGGAGTAGGAAGATCCCATGGAAGGAGGAGGCAGGTTGCTAGTCGAAGCATCCAGGGCGGTGGCGGCGGCATCCTTCTGCTCGGGCGTGTAGATGAGGACGAAGAGTTTGATCTTGGAAAAGTCATTGTGGCGAGGAATGTGAGACAGGATGGACTTGGACAGAGGTCAGCAACTACACATATAAGAAGAGACTGAATACAAGAGGGAGAAGAAGAGGCAGTAAAAGAACTCACAGCATGCTCAAAGTATCCGGTCGCATCCTGAGAGGACGAAGCGGCGAGGGAATCGGCAGACACGACAATGGCGACCGTCTTGCGGTTCCTGGGCGAGGTCAGCGGGGCACGGTCGGCCTTGGCGTCTGCCTCCTCGGACCAAGGGTTGCCGTCCGGGTACTGCCTGTCGTCTTCGCGGATGGAGGAGAGAGCCTTGCCCACGGCCGCGCCGGCGGCCGCGAAGCCAGCGGCCACCGTCTTGCCGGTCGTGTCGAGAAAATGCTGCGGGCTGGGCGTGCGACGGAGAGCACCGGACATCCTCGCGCCCCAACCTGAGACATCGGACAGAGGCGCGGGCGGCGGTGCGGATCCCCCGACCACGCTCTCATTCCCGACCGAAGGCGCAGGGTGGTAGCCGCCATTGGGAGGTCGAGTGTAGTTGTCGTCGTCGTCGTCGTCGTCCATCCGTCCGGCGTAGCCGTTGTTGTTATTGTTGTCGTAGACGAGACCAGGATCGTCGCCGTCGTCGTCCGAGTCCTTTCGCTGCTTCCAAGCCCAGACGACCACACCGGCCGTCGCGACGGTCAGAGTGACGGCTAGAGGAACCCAGTGACCCCATACGCCATGGCGGCGTGATTCGTACCGGTCGGGCGCCATTCACACGAATTGCTGCTGTCGCATTGCCCAAAGGCCCGAAGGGAATGGGGTGAGAGAGCGGTGTCGAGAAGGCGAGTGGGAAGGATAGCCCGCGTGCCACAAGAAAAAAAAAACACGGTATAGGGTTGCTCTCGAATTTCTAGCAACTGGTGCCCCTCCGAACAGCTGCGTGTAATAAGATAAAAAAAGCACAGATGCGCGATGCACAAAGAAGAATAGACACTCCTGGTATGCTGCTGGCTCCTCCACGGACCACCTGGGGCTTATCGCGACAGTCAACAAGGGGGTGGAGCTCATCAGGCACCTAGCAACCAGTGCCAAGTCGTACGAGAGTGGGCAAGGCCGTATCCCGAGGTTTGGCCAGCCTTGATTTGACGCGTTCTGGCTCTGTCAGCGGGGCTAGTGTGTGTGATTTAATTTACCCGAACCGAATAGACGACACGCACATATACACGTGAATGAGTTATCAACTGTGGCGGTGAGGGGAATGTTTCAGCCACACAGGGCGACGCCACAAATCCATCCCACCATCCTTAGTGGGGCTTTTGTTCGTGCGATGACTCTTTATTGAGCAGCCTCATCGGAGTAAGCCAACAACCAAGCTCACGGGGCAAAACAACCTCACTCACCCCTTGGCGGCATACGAGATACTGCAGTGCCAGATCGAACGCAGACACTCGACATTAAAGACCGGCCCCTTTCCCACTACAGCCAAGGTCTGGAAGAGAAGGCGGCGACCCCCGCCTCTGACCAGTCATGCCCCACGCCATATCCATGGCCTCCACGGGGCTGCAAGCCCTCATCCTCTGCGGCCCCGGATCGTCGTTTCCGACCTTTACATCGAACCCGGATGAAAACCCCAAGGCTCTACTGCCAATTGCGAACCGGCCCATGGTCTGGTATCCCATCGACTTCTGCTACCGTGCTGGCATCAGCAGTGAGTCACCTCAACCCCCCGAGCCCGAATGAGAGAGAGCCCTAGGGTTGTCGCGCATCGATATGGGAGGAGACGGCTACTTACAAGAGACTATTGCAGAAATCACTCTCATCTGCCCACCCTCTGCAGCCAAAGCCATCAAGACTGGCCTCAACACGGATGTGTCCCTGACCAGCCTCCCGCTCCCACGGCCAGACATCCTGGCGCCGAGGGAGCTGGATTACAACATGGGGACGGCGGAGATTTTACGACTTCCCGAGGTCAGGGACCTGGTGACGTCGGACTTTGTCGTGCTCCCCTGCGACCTCATCTGCGAACTGGGCGGCGAGAAGCTCCTGCAGGCGTGGCAGGTCAAGTCGGCCAGCCTGTCGGAGATGCTGGAGGCGGACATATACTCGGACAGTAACCCCGGGCGGAGTAGCGGAGGCCTGGGTGTGTGGTACGACGCCAAGGCTAACACGCCGATCAAGAAGGAAGAGACGGATTTTATCTCTACGGCGCCGATAGACGACGACGGCTCGTCGCCGGGACCTCGGGACTCCCTGATCCCCAAGCTGTCCAACCTTGTGTTCTCGATGCCGACGGACTCGCTCAAGGAGGTGACGGAGGAGAGGAAGGGCCTGCCCCTGCGATACAGCCTTATGCGGGGGAATGCGCGGCTCCGCATGCTCACGACGCACCGCGACGCGCACATCTACATATTCCCCCGATGGATCATTGATTTCGTCGTGGAGAACGAGCGGCTGGAGAGCATCAGCGAAGACGTCGTAGGATGGTGGGCCAAGGCCGGCTGGCAGCCCGGGCTGGCGGAGAAGCTGCATATGAAGCGGGTGTGCGGCCCGCCGCAGCACGACGAGGCGCGGCAGAGCTCGTCGCCCACGAGCGACGAGGCGCCGGCGGAGCTTGACGTGTTCAAGTTCATGGAAGGCTTCAGCAAGCCGCCCTTCTCCGTGGAGCTAGACAGCAACAGGAGTTCGTTCCCGCAGTTCTACCGCGACGAGGAGGAGTCGGCGACGACGAGGGTGCCGCCGATACTGGCCTACGTGCACGCGGGGGCGGACCAGAAGGCCGGGTCGCTCATCAGGCGCGTCGACACGGCCCAGCTCCTGCTCGCGATATCGCTAGAGCTGGCCAAGCTCCCCTCGCTCGAGGAGACGGGGGCGGCCGACGCCACGTCCCCGTCGTCCCCCTCGCCGTATGCGCACCCGCGCAAGATCGCCTACCCCGAGGGCGTCAAGTCGCGGACCACCATCACAAAGCAGGACACGCTGGTGGGCGACAACGTCAAGGTGGAGGAGAAGGTGTCGGTGAAGGAGTCCGTGGTGGGTAACGGGTGCCAGCTCAACGAGGGGGCCAAGCTGTCGCAGTGCCTGCTCATGGAGGGTGTCGTGGTCGGCAAGCACTGCAAGCTGACCAAGTGCATCTTGGGGAAGAGGTGCGTCATTGGCGACGGAAGCGTCCTGACGAATTGCGAGGTTCAGGAGAACCTCCTTGTTGAAGCTAAGAGTGAGTGCCTATTCTCCGTCCCGTACGTGGACGGACGCTACACAACAACGGTGCCACACACACACACACACACACACACACAAACAGGGCTCCCAAGTCTGCCAAGACTACAACGGTTGTTCACATCTGCTAACCACCGAGCGAGCAACAGCCGACGATAAGGACAACAAACTGATGAGCTCCGAGGGCCTGGAGGCTACAGAGGCAGAGATGGAAGAGGTGCTACAGGAGCAGGAGGAGGTCATGGCCGAGTGAGGGCGCCAGTGTTTGAGGGTCTTCTCTTCTCTGGGGAGACGGACAGACAGAAAAAACCGAGATGCATCGTGATATGACATATAGTGCAAAGGAAGATGTACCTCCCCATCACCGGTCTCTCCATCCCACTGATCTCTCTTCAAAGGCCAGGATAACGGTCCACAGAGGGCGGTTCCAAGGAATGAATGATTACTGTGCGCGGCAGGACATTGCATCGAACAAGGAAATTGGTGTCCTCTCCCCTCTCGGTCACTCCGAGAGAAAAAAAGAAAGAAGATGTGGAGTTGGCAGAAAAACAGAGACGGGACTGAGAAGCAGGAAAAAGAAAAGAAAAGAAAAAGAAAAAAAAGACGTTTTTCTCTCTGGTGATATGGTGGCTTGAGAAAGGAGATGGCACCGGATACGGATCATACCTACAAGTGCTAGCATGGTTGGATGGGGATGGGGATTGGGGTTGGGGTTGGGAAATTTGAAGGCGTGTGACAAGTGCAGTGCGGTTGCGAAACGTCGCGTCCGAGCGTAGCGTCTTTACGGACATCAGGTCAGGACAGGTCAGTGCTGAGTGGCTGAGGGGGGCTGAAGGCTGTGTGGTTGAGTATTATTACTATTATATTACATGTAGCTGAGCTGTATCAAGGTATGGGGAAATGGGAGATTACTAAGTATCCATCACTCCGTACTCGAATTGAGACTGAGAGAGAGAGAGAGAGTGGAGAGAGAGAGTGGAGAGAGAGAGAGAAAAGAGGCAAGTTGATTGTTTATTCTGGCAAGATCAGACGTCTGAGATGATGCAGGTCATGACAAGATGGGAAGGATCGTGGGGTGGGTTCGCTCCATCCAACAAGAGTCGGTCCCAACCAGATAGAGGTGCTCGAGCAGGAAACGTGTTTCAACAGGAAAGGTGTATAGAGAAGAAGAAGAACAAGGTCAGAACAAAGAGAGAAGAAAAAGAAAAGAAGAAAAAGTCATGGCGATGATACTTTTTTTTTGGGGGGGGGGGGGGGGGGGGGGGGGGGGAGGGGGGAGGTGGTTTCTCTACGCATAATAATATATAATTAGTAAGAGTAAGAGTAGAGCTACCAA